TTCCAACGAGGTCGATACTAAACGACTTTTGGCCATAATTTCTGCCATAAAGTAGGTTTTGTCGTAATATAGAAGTTCCACATAGTGTAAAAACTTTTATATGTATAAAATCATTGTAAATTTAATGTAATTGTAAAATGACACTACATAATCCATATAGAACAGTATAGAATTAAGAATTTGTGATTTTGTTGAGAAATCTCTATTTTTTTCACAGATAATTCTAATTCAATTTATGAGGTAAGAAATCGTTTATCTATCGTGAAAAATTAATGCAAATAATCAATATATTTTGTTGAATACATTCAAAAATTATATTCCCAACAATTTCATACCATGGATTGAATTCGTTGAATCACTCGATTATGGATATCACTCATCTGAAGAGTTTATTGAAGAGCGGAACAATCCGTCTTGTGTTTCCAGCCCTTGTGGCATCGATTTCAATATTCTCTAACGTAATGCATTGAGGGATAGTCTACGCGTCACAGATGGGAAAATGTAGAAATACAGTGATCACATTCATTGACTTCAAGAAAGCTTCTTTTAATATGAAAAACATTATTTTTGTTGATGATTCGGTAGACCGCGAAACCCTTTTTGAAATCATGAAAGAATTTGGAATCGCCCGAAAGACCCGAAAAATTATAGAACAGACACTTACAGGTACAACTTCCAAGGTTAAATTCATGGGCGAAGTATTAGATCCCCTTGAAATCAAAACCGGTGTACAGCATGGGGACGGACTTTCGCCAATCCTTTTCAATATTGTTTTCAAAAAGATCATTAGGGAATGGGAACTTCACGTAAAATGTATTCAATTGGGTATCAAAAAAGAAAATAGAATAAATGTCAAATGTCTCGTCTTTGCAGACGATATTGCTATCATCACAAACAACAGAACAAAAGCCATTCTCGCCGTAGAAAAACTACATGAAATTGCGCAGAAAACCGGTTACAAATTTCTTATGATAAAAGCAAATACACGGTAAGAAATCCAAAAAATAAATCCTCTCCTATCACAAAACATGGTGAAATTGTGCAAGTCAGGCCATTTTGAATACCTCGGGGAAGTTATACAGTCCTCAGGTTTAAACTGAATCGCTAATGAACAGAAAATTACCGAGCTGAAAAGGGCCTACAAACTAACATGGGCTCACTATAACAAAAAATGCATTTCGAGAGGCGCCAAATTGAGGCATTATAACACAACGATTCTTCCAGAAGCAATCTACGCATCTGAAACAATGGTTATTGACGGTCATTCAAGAATTAGAGAAATAGAAAAACAAGAACGAAAAATTCTCAGAAAGATTTACGGGCCAATCAATAGAAACGGCATTTGACTCAAAATGAACTATATAAAAAGATAAATACGATAACGGAAGAAATCAGAAAACGACGAGCAATGTTCTATGCACATATCTACAGAATGAAACAGTCCAGAATACCGAAGAAACTACTCGATATAATTATGAATAGTAAATGCCGAACAGTGTGGCTAAAAGGGGTCCAAAAGGATCTACAACAGATCAATATAAAAATCTCGAAGATCGCACTGAATGTCGCTATAAAATCGTACATGTGAAGTTTGAGCAAAAGTCAAATCGTTAACCTGGAGTAAAATGGACAAATGAACGGAAGAAAGAACATTCAGAGAGGATGAAGCAAAAGTCCTAATAATTGCGAATTCAAGTTCAGTCGCTCTCCTCATGGGGAACAATCGTAATAATAATAATAATTATATATATATATATATATATATATATATATATATATATATATATATATATATATATAGATATCTTCAGTTTCACCTGATATCCATAAATCATAAATATGAATGATATGGTTTGCATAATAAATTCATGATATTGGCATAAAATTGTATATTAATTGTGTCTGTTTCCTCACTTTCATATTTCGAATTGTTGTTCATAAATTATGGACTTGAAGATGCACCAAGTGCCATAAAAGTACTTATTCTTTTCAAAAGTTTTAGTCTTCATTGATGTAAAGTTCTCAACAAGAAATGAATAATTCACGAAAGTTTTTTGTTCGTGGTTTCTCTTATCGGATACTGAATAATGCACAGACTTTGATTCAAACACCACGTTCTTCTTGTTTCCAACTTCATTTATTAAAATTCATCATCCGAGAGTGCCGCGTCAAATTTTGAATGCATTTGTCTCAAAAACGATGAAAACGTGATATATTTTCAAATTACCTTTCCGAATATTCTGTCGCAGTTGGTGGTAATTTTACTGTTTGAAATATGTATCCAATATTTTCTTATACTTACTTCGGTATCATTTTTAAATAATTTTCTTTTGTTTATCTCTAGCTACAATTGAAACATGCTCTATTTAACATGCTTACTTTATGAATTCCACATTAGATAATACTATTCGAAAATGTTGGTAATGCTTTATAATACAAATATAAATGAAACAATAGAGAAGGAGAAATACATTTAACCACATTATGTGATAACCTATTGGACATATTTTTACATAAAATGTGTCTGTAATATTAACTCAATGTGAATGTTAGAGAGCAATTGCGAACTGCATAATAACATTATTGAAATTGTTTAAATTTACAATGAAACAAGAGTAACAAACACTAGGAATAAAATTTATTCAAATTGCGAAATTTATCAACTCATAAATGTAGGATCTAGACTTGTAATTGTCATCTATTTATTTGTTCCAATTGCAAATCGTGTTAGTGGTTTTTAATTCAAAGGGCAGTTTGTTATATATTTTTGGTTTGTCGAAGAGGTAGCTACGAAGAATATTTTTCAAATTGATAATTGATGAGGCCGATACTTGGAGAAAATTAAAATCCATAATAAAACAATATTTAGAATTTTCTCATAATTCAATATAAAATACGCATGACGACGTTTAGAAGCACTACTTCTTTATCAAATGCTGGATTAATACTATGTGTAATTTTACAAATTTAATACTTATAGCTATTTTTACAGAACATACATGGTATGTTCTATGACTAACTTGGAATGAGGACCATTGAATACACTGATATTTAACAAATGGATCGTATACCTGGAAATGAACACAGAATATCAATTTCTTAAGTCCATTCCAACTAAATGTAGGAAGGATGCAAATATACAACTAAGATTTCTAAGAACAAATGAAGGAAAGTTGAAATTTTTGAACATAAACATAAGTGAACATTTATGTTCAAAAATTTTAACTTTCCTTTATTTGTTCTTAGAAATCTTAGTTGGATATTTGTATCTTTTCTACATTTAGTTGGAATACCTGTCTTGAAAAATTGATTTTCTGTGTTCATCTCCAGGTATACGATCCTTTTGTTAAATATCAGTGTATTCTATGGTCTTCATTCCAAGTTAGTCATAGAACATACCTGGTAGGTTCTGTGAAAATAGCTATAAGTATTGACTTTGTAAAATTACACATAGTATTAATCCAGCATTTGATAAAGAAGTAGTACTTCGAAACTTCGTCATGCTTTTTTTATATTAAATTATGAAAAAATTCTAAATATTGTTTTATTAAGAATAGTTTTCTTTCAATTTGTGTATAAGCAGTGATGTTTGATTTTACAAACATGTAAATGTTTGATTGTTGTTTTTGTTTCGAAAATTCGTAAAATTGGGTGAAACTAGGGCTGATTTTCCTACATTTTGCGAAAGTTCTGTGCAAAGCATTTTAGTTGGGATAGGAATACAAACAATGTTAAATTTGTACCCAGAGGTCTGTAAAATATCGTGATATTCTGCAACATGCTTGTTAAATCTTCATAATTGACATGCTACTTAATGATTTTTGTACAAAATTTTGGAAAATATTGGATATTAATAAATCTAGACGAGATCAGATTTTTTCCTTGTTTTATGTAATTATCAGGTGTGAGATATTTTTATCTACTCACAACTTCACTGTTGAAGTATTTCTTGAAGAAATTCTTCAGTGACGTCGATTCATGCAGTGCAAGTTATTTATGCTTGACATCGAAAAGTACCTGATAGTATAGTTCAGAGATTCGGAATCTGTTCAACAGATAAAATAAAAGATTATAGTGGCGACCAGATAAAATAAAAGATAACAGTCGCGGGCCAAAAAAAAAAAAAAAAAAATTTATAATTGAAAAAATTCTTTATTTTCGATATTATTTACTATCCACAAACAATGCACTTTGTCCCATGAGTACCAATTGTAAGGATTGATCAAAAACATGTCGCTGGCCGGATTAAACTAGTCCAAGGCCGTACTTGGTCCGCGGGTCGTGATTTGTCCTTCACTGGTCCAGTCAATACGTCTCACTAATTGTAAATTCGCAGTGTGTCGAGACCCTTCAGCATGCACTTCACATACGATCCAAATATCTCGAGTGGTAGCATACAATAGATTGCTCGTAATGAGAGGGATGGATGGACGTTAAGTTCTACCTTTTGAGAAGTTTGTTCCTTCAAAACCAATGATGAATCACGAGTACAGCACCTCGGAATGTGCCAGATTTTTTATTGTTTTATCTTCCCATCCGAGTGACCCATGGACGTTCATCAGATTTTCCGATTTAAGTGATAATAAATTAATATTCATGATGGATAATGCGTTTTCTTCAACAGATTGCGTCGTTTGTAGTAAGATGTAAAACTTTTGACACAAAATTTTGAACATTGAGTAAAAGGGATTTTGTATAATACATGACAAATGCTTAAAGTGAATTTCAACTTGATTACAACTCATCAGTCAGATGTGTAAGAAAACTGAATATAATCAATTAGAATAACAGACATTCCAGTCATAGGACCTATTGGCTCAGAAATTTTGTTACATCATTTTTCATAAATGACACGGAGGTTTCGCTTATCTCTTGGTGAAACATTATGTTAAAAACAATAAATTAAAATTAACACACTTGACTTAAGTTTCACTGAATATATTAAAAACTCTACATATGTTTCGGGTGGTTAACCCATTATCAAGAGTATACAACAGCCGGTCTCCGTGGTTTAGTCGGGATAACATCCGACTATGGTGCGGTAGAACTCGGGTTCGAACCCCGCTGAAAACATGGGTGTTTGTGTTTGTCTATGATTTAAGTAGTTTAAATAATGATATATGCTGGGTAATGGACATTGATTACAAGTCCAATGGCCGTTCGAAACCGGCGTTAAATTGTAGGTCCACTGTATTAAATGAAGAGTATGCAATATTACTGAATGTATTGAAGTGTGAAGTATGAAGAGTATGTAATGTTACTGAAAGAAAGAATAATGGGTTAACCACCCGAAACATATGTAGAGTTCTTAGTATATTCAGTGATACTTGAGTCAAGTGTGTTTTTCGTTGATTATTTCAAAAAATTTTGAACTTATGTATATCATATAACTAATGATAATTACATGTTATACTCTTGATGAAATGCATACCAGCTCAAATAATCATTAATCCATTACAGATTTGAATTAAAATAGTCAGACTGAAAGTATTTCACTTCGAAGTATATGTATTTTGAGAGAATCTTCGAAATAATACTTCAATGAATCACTTTTTTCCTCTATTAAAACAGATTTCGTTAATGAGTCGATCAATATCGAGTTTCTTTTTACTTTCCCAAAAACAGTTTCTGACACAAGCAAATATTCAATTAGGGCTCTAGAGATTCAACAGAGCAGTTATTAGAAACAAGCTTCATTATTTGGTGCTCCAATTCATTATTCTGCTAGTCCGTACTTCAATTTTCGCAGATATTAATCCGGCCAGGGTTTCCATCTAATTAATCATTCAATGACCGGATTTACTTTATATACTTTTATGTACTGAATGAAATATTTTCATGTTTAATATTAATTTCGAAGTTATTTTCATGCTGTTAATCACAGGTCTTGCTGATGGCTGGGAAATTCGTACATCAAACGAGATGCAACGCCCACAAAATATCATTTTCATTTTTGAATACAAAAGATGGCCGTTTTGAAAAATAGAGAACTTATTGAATTTTCACTATTGGAAACAACATTAACACTATGGAAGTTATGACTGCGATATATACATATATTGCAGTCAATTGGTCATTGAAAGGAAAATAAGTTAACTCCTTAGTATTTTCCAAGCTTTCGAAAATGTTTATTATCTTCTTCAGGGCTAAAATTGTACAATATTAACAGATTATATAACAAGGCACTATTGAAAATTTTTCCTGCAATTATTGTGATGTTAGTCCGAAGGTACATTTGTTTCTTGAATTTTGAAATTAAGTATTCCAAAATGCATTGGGTTCTAATATTATTGCATTTTACGTGTACAGTAGTTGAAGGAAGCAACAACACTGAATTTATTTCTCAATTCACCTTTTCAAGTTGACTGACTTTAGTGCCTTGTTATATAAACTGTTAATGTTGTGCAATTTCAGCCTTGAAGAAGAAAATCAACATTTTTAAAAGCTTGGAAAATACTAAAGAGGTAACTCATTTTCCTGTCCTAGACTGCAATCCCAATTAAACACTGAAAATACATATCTGGCAGAGCTGGCTATGTGAAACATGAAAAATGCGATGTCTCCATTTTCCTTCTAGGGATCAATGTTAGGAAATATTGGAATCTCCATTATCTATCTCCTTTAACATCTAGGGATAGATGTTAAAGAATCTTGAAATCGATGCCTACATTTATTGAAAGCGTGAGACAGTCACTGTTTCGTACTAGCAAGGTACTCATCAGTCACGCCACGTTCAACAAATTAAAGGCAACTATTTCCATGTTATATAATGTTCTTTTGAATAATTTGTCAAAAAAATTATCCTACGAACTTTTATATATATATATATATATATATATATATATTATATATATATATATATATATATATATATATTTTTTCCCTTATTTTCCCGTCCTGTACTGCAACCTACAATTAAACACTGAAAATACATATCTACAGTCATCAATAACATAACATTTCGCCAATAACATATGTATTTTCAGTGTTTAATTGGGATTGCAGTCCAGGACGGGAAAATAAGTTATCTCAAACTTTTGAAAATGTTTATTTTCTAAAGGGCTAAAATAGTACAATATTAACAGTTCATATAACAAGGCACTATTGAAAATTTTTTGTTACAATTACTGTGAAGTTAGTCCGAAAGTACATATGTTTCTTAAATTTTGAATATATATATATATATATATATATATATATATATATATATATATATATATATATATATATATATATATAAATATATCATGATGATTATTTATCTCATAAATTTTGGAAAACCTATCCGTTTTGTCTAATTTTTGCTTTTGAAATATCAGGAAAGTTTCGAATGTGAGAAAATACGAAGAAATGTTGAATGAAGACATAGAAACAACTATCTCATTCAAAGTATTCGTACCTGTCAAACAGGAAGTGTCCCCAATCAATTTCAGTATTGAATGCAGAAAAAATATTAACTCAAACTACTGGTTCTGTCGAATGTGGTGCTATCAGAAATAACGCCAAAACTTGCAATATTGTAATATATACCTAACGTTTATCGTTCGTTGTCAAGACTGGCATTTTCCATGTAGCTTGGTACATTTTGAAATCAATTTCTAAACGAAGTTTGAAAATTCGAGAAGAAAAAATATGTCATTATATGATGGCTTTTTGATTATTTACAGATTTCAAAGAACATTTCACAGAACTTGTTACCGATATGTGAGTATATATACAAAAAGTGTGTAGGTACTTATATACTGGAGGAGAGTAATTTGAACGAGACAAATGCAAATATAATAAAAATATAATTAAAATATAATTATAAATATAATTAAATAATAATAATTAAATATAATTAAAATTTTAGATTTATAGTATAATTCAAATTAGAGTTTTATCAAAACTAGTTTGATTCGATTCTGATTCGATCTTCTATACATGCATGAGTTTGCGTCAAAGCATATTTGAAGCATGATGTGTCCACAATTTCGAACCAACAAAATATCCATGATATGTTAATTTCTTCTGGGTTTCATCTCACGCTTGACTAGACCTTTTGGTCCATGAGAGGGTGTTGTATTATTCAATTGTAAGATCCAAGCTAGAGTACTTGTCGGTTGTCTTGAATCCTAACTATGATAAATGATTGAATGGAATACAGAATGCTCAATGGAAATTCATTACTGCGCTTAATTTTCACATGATACCGTCATGGATTTTCATATGAAAGTAATGTTAGATTTAATAAGTATAAATGTTTAAGTTTGATAGGTAAGTATTCTGAAAAACTCCATATATTCGTTCTACAATTACTAACGGCTTGATAGATTTTATATCATTTACTAGCCTAATAAAATTTTACTGTTTCACACATGCAAAAAAAATTGTACACTATGATTGTAGGGAAGGACAATGCAAGTTATATGTTAAATTCATCCATCCACAAAACCTTTTGTAGGCTCAACTCAATCAGCGGAGAAACCAATTTCTTGTTTTATGATTGAATATAAAATAAAATTCAAAAAGATGAACTTTTGATTTATACTTTTATTGACAACATAGCATGACGCGTTTCGTCGTCACAAACGACTTCTTCAGGTGCAACTAAAATACAGACTACTAGAATGATGCTACTAGAATACCGAGGGTCAGTATTTTAGGAGCATCTGAAGAAGTTGATTGTAACGACAAAACTAGTCATGCTATGTTGTCAATAAAAATGTAAATTGATGATTGATGAGGACAATAATTGGAGAAAATTAATATCCATAATGAAACCATATTCAGAATTTTCTCATAGTTCCGAAGTACTACTTCTTTATCAAATGATTAATACTGAAAGTATTAATCCAGAATTGTGAAACAGCATAAAAATGTAAATCAAAAGTTCAAGTTTTGAATTTTAACTTATATTCAATTATAATGGATTTACATCTAGTAAACGCCAACGCGATTCGATATGATTGTTTTATTTCATTCAAGAGAAATTTGAAAAGAACTTCATTTACAGGTCGAGAATTATTGTTTTTTCTGTCCCTTTAAGTACCTATTCACATTGTGGACTAGATTGGATCAGTGTATGATATTCATTTATTTGAATACTTTTTTCTCTGAATTCTTGATATTAATGATAATTATAATATAACTTTATTGTATGGCAACTCATTACAGTGTTTCACTAAATATAAACAAAAATGTAGAAAACCCCATGAAACCAGTATATTATTTCTTAGAATGTTTTGCTTTCCCTTTTTTTATCTAACATGAGGGCAGTTAGAGATCGTAATGCGTCGAGAGTCTTCTGCTTATAATTAACAGAATGACGTCATAATAAGCGAGGTGTTGCAAGATTGAATTATGAATTTAACTGGGATTGATGAAATAATCCAAGATGTCAGACATTGACGTTTATGAGAAGTAATTTTGTCGGACTAGTAAAAACCAAACTTAATTTCGTCCAAAATGCGTAACATCGATAACCAGAATACAAATCATTATGAGCCAATACAAATGTGGAGAAAGATTTGCAGTCATACAAGAAATTGAATATAAGTAGCGGTCAATATTCCAAAATGAATGCTTAACACTTAACTTATATTAAACTGTGTCTGTTCTATAAACTATCAAAGTTCAATCCATTTAAGATGGTGCAACCCGTCATGGCAATATTAATGCAGAGGAAGATTTTCAGGCAAAAAGGAATTGAATATAAGAAGTCAATAGACCAACATTAATCGTCAAGACTTGCATTGAATTTTGTCTAAGCCCCAAACAATAAAAGCAAGTACTCATATTGTCTTCATTGTTCCTTTGGATTTATCATAAAAAATATCTAATCAGTTAGATAATGTATACACAATCGTAAGTTTTCAAATTAACACTTGTGTTTCTCTCCTATAGCATAATTTTGAGTCTGTACAGTTGAAAATAAAATGGAAAAAAGAAAAGTGATAGAAACTATTTAACTTCCTGTCTATTTAGAAACAATCTCTCTGATTCCATAAATAACACGTAAATTATTCCTACAACACGAAATGAGAGTTTTGTTGAGTTTGAAAGTTTGTGGTTGCCTACAAACTATGAAATTC